GCCATCTTGGCCCAGTCGTGCCAAGCTCTTGTTTCGGTATTCTTGATTCTGGGCTTCACGTTGTAGCCCAGAAGTTTACGATCTCAGTTTGTTTAGATTATCCTAGTGATTGCAAATCCCTCCCCTTAAGTTGATTGATCTTTAACGGTTGAAAGTTTTTTTTGTTGCTTAGCTTTACTCAACTAGTTTTGTTTTAAAAAAAATATAATTAGTTAAAGGAGGGGTGCCATATTAGGCAATGCAAATAGCCATGGCTCTCAAGCATTTAGTTTGAATTTCCTCAAGATTAGAAGTGGGGTGCGCCATGCCAAACAAAAATGACAATCGCATGACCCTTGTTTAATTAATTTTGTTTTAATCCTTAGAATTCGAGGCGCGCCATTTAGCATATTCCCATGGCCCTCGCAAAGTTAAAAAACGCGTAGTTGCTTTAGGCGCGTTATTTTAATAATTTACCTTCCTAAACTCGGGTGGGCATTTATGTGACCCAAATCCAAATCTCAACGTCGGATAAAATGTGTTGCGAATCGCGGGTGCATTTATGTGACGTGGTTCAAGACATTTTAAATGACGTTGCAATTTTCCTTGAAAAATAATTAAATAAAGCGGTTAAAAAGTTTAAAATTGCACATAGGTTCAAAAATGTTTAAAATCATATAAACAGGCCAATTATAACAGTTGAGCGACCGTGCTAGAACTACGGAACTCGGGAATGCCTAACACCTTCTCTCGGTTTAACAGAATTCCTTACTCGGATTTCTGGTTCGCGGACTGTTAAACAGAGTCAATCTTTTCCTCGATTCGGGATTCCACCGGTGACTTGGGACACCATAAATCTCCCAAGTGGCGACTCTGAATCTTAATATAAATAAATCACGTTTCGATTGTACTTTAATTGGAAAAACTCCCTTATACCCTTCCGGGGTGTAGGAAAAAGGAGGTGTGACAAGTAGCACAGATGTTCTCTTGTTCACAATATATTTCTTTATGCCCCATTTTTGTTGCCTTTCTGCTCTTTCTGGAACTCTTTGCCCCTCTCACTTTAGTGTATGAATTATATTCATCGTGGGTATCAAGATGATGACTTCAGGGTTATTTTCATTGCAATCGTCATTGCCATTATTTTTGCTACTACTGATTCTGTTAGTCAACAACAGTAAATATCATTTAAAATGTAAATGCTTCTTATGGAAATAGAATTAAAGACCTTTTCAATGCTTATTGATAGCTGTTGGACATTTATATGTAAAATGTAAAGCATATGAACGAATCTGATATAACGTTGTACAGTTATCCCAAAGAATGCTCTTTAAACGGTAAATGAAAACTCTTGGAAAAAGATGTGAAATAAAGTATCTGTTCTGAGATTATGTATCTTATTTCCTATGCAGCTATGATTCTTTTCTTAGTCACCCTTCCATATGAAGGGCAAGAAAAGTTATAAATTTCTGCCAATGTGAATACATCTGCCATGACCTACAACATGCTGATTATTCCGTCAACAAAAAAATATAGCTATTTTTGAAACATCCTGTAATGCATAATCTGAGTCCTTAACTCAAAAAACAAAAATCTGTGTCTTTCTTATCCATAAAGTCCTATATAAAGACTTATAAGATATATGCTATTATTGTTCTATTTCAGGGTTTGGTTCCCCAGAAGGTAGTTGTCTTCCCTGCTCAGGACTATCAGGGAGAGCAGTCACCTCTTGGGGTGAATATAAGCAGTCCTCGAAGGTTAAGATTTTAAATTTGAAATCTCCTTACAAGAGTACACCTTTTTTATGTAATGCTAGCTTCAGCAATCATAAAAGAAATCCAGATTTTTCGAGGCAAAACAAGTTTTCCAGGGGCAGGAACAGGCAAAATGAAGAGAGAGACAGTTATGATAATTTAGAAGAATCTGAAATGCTATCTTCACGAAATGGACCACTGCTTACTGCATCAAACACTTCAAAATTCCAAGCTACAGCCACTCCAGGTCCAAGGGAAAGGGAGATTGTTGAACTATTCAGAAAGGTGCAGGCTCAGCTCCGGGAAAGAGCTGCAATCAAAGAGGAGAAAAAATCTGAAGAGTTGCAAGGAAAGGGTAAAGAGAGTGAAACTGTTGATTCCCTTCTCAAGCTTTTAAGAAAACACTCAGTTCAGAAAGGGAAGAAAACCAACAGCAGTAGAAGCAGCAACTTTGTCCTTGACCAGCCAGATCAGAGCAATGTATTCTCTGAAGAGAGAGCTGGCAATAGCACTGAACTAAATAGCAATGTGAACCATGTGGCACAAGATAGTGGGACCCCAGTTGTTAACCGGCCGAAGTCAAACTTCCGACGTAGATCTCCAGTTTCCCGAACCAAATTTCAGCCTGTTTATCACGAGGGAGGTTCGGATAACCTTGTTGCCTCTACTGCTACAGATAAGACAGAAAAGGACATACATCTGGACCCTGAACTTGGCCGAATTCCCAAAAATAAGGTTGATTCTAGTGCTCATTCTGACAGAGAGCCGATTTTCTCAGACGAAGATGTGTTTGATGAGATGGCTGACGATGATGCTGCCAAAATGTTTGAAAATGTTGATGCTAATGATGATGAAGAACAACATCAGGTTGGTGAGGAATTAGCTGAAATGAAGCTGACTGAACTGCGAGCTATTGCAAAGTCTCGTGGGTTGAAGGGATACTCAAAACTGAAAAAAGTAGAGCTCATTGAGTTACTAAGTGCTGATCAAGTCTGATCTTTTTGTTTCACAAGTGATGATAGATTGTAGAATGTTCTTGCACATTAGTCTTTTAATTTCTACATTTTGTTTGTCTTACACAGTACTCTTTCTCTTGATGATGGTTTCTGTAGTCAGATTGGACAATTTTGTATACATCTATGTAACAGTTTCTGCATTCAATACATGTTTGACTAGTTTCTTATACTTTTTGTGTCATATCACTTGGCAGATTCACCATTCCCGTCGGTGTATTCTGACTCTCTGGTAACTGTTAAACTAGCCTATCTTAGATGCTTTTGACTTCAGCAAAGTCGGTTGCCTAAATTGGAGAGACGTTCTGGGCCTCTGGGATGTGCAGTTGTCCTGGTAATTTATCTCAATTTTGATGCATAATTATTCCATCATCAATGTCGAAATCTGCTATAGCAAGATTCAACTCGTCGTAAAAATGTGTTGTTAAGGTTACTAGTGCTATCTTTAGTATACCACCTTGCTGGATCAACAAGAGAGTAAATCGGGTCATGACTTGTGGAGTAGTATTCGTTCTCATCTTCTACCCTTTTCTTTTTCATCCACTTCCTCTTTCCAACCATTCTTTCCTCAATCACGTGTCATCTTTGGTGACTATTGCTCAACATTTTAATAGTAGTATTCATTTTCTGGTATCAGAATGGAGTCAATAGTTGTTTGGGTCTAAGGACATGCTTAGAAGTTTCTTATGTCAAGTAGACCTTGTTCCCTACCAAATGAAGTGATAGATCTTCGTCCACTGACATCCAGAGATGGTTTTCTACCAATCATTGTATAGTACTTGTTACTTAAAAAAGAAAAAGAAGGCGCTGGAAAGATAACTGCAGTTCCTCTGTTGATGTTCTCCCAAGTTCTAGCACTCCCTCTTGTCTCATTTTGCTCGACCTGGCTTGGGTTTCACAATGTTTGTGCAGAAATGTTTGAATAGAAGTAACGGAAAAGGGTTCAAAATACCCCTAAACTATTGAAAAAGATTTTAAAATACCCTTCATCCACCTATTGGGCTAAAAATATCCCTCCATCCACCTTTTTGGTTCACTTATACCCTTTGACCGTTAGGTCAATGCTGAATTAAAAATAATTACTTAAAAAATAATTTTGTTTTTTTAAACTAATGCACCAGTAGTCCACTAATTTAGTAAAGTCTTCTTCTTTTTTTTTTTTTTCAGTTTTTACAAAAAAAAAATATTTAGTTTTCTTAAAGCATTTTTTTTTTATAAAAACTGATTTTTTTTTTGTAAAAACTGAAAAAACTGGAAACAAAAATATTTTTTCAGTTTTTACAAAAAAAAAATATTTAGTTTTCTTAAAGCATTTTTTTTTTATAAAAACTGATTTTTTTTTTGTAAAAACAGAAAAAAATTGTTTTTAACAAAAATATTTTGGTTTTTTAAAAACTGAAAAAATATTTTCGTTTCCAGTTTTTTCAGTTTTTAAAAAAACAAAAATATTTTGTTAAAAAACTAAAATATTTTTTTCAATTTTTTCAATTTTTTTCCAGTTTTTACAAATTTGTTTTTCCAGTTTTTACAAAAAAAGTGTTTTAAAAAAACTGAAAAAAAAATATTTTTCAAAAATGAAAATATTTTGTTGAATTTTTTTTTTCTGTTTTTACAAAAAAAATGCTTTAAAAAAAACTGAAAAAAATTAATCTTTTGTAAAAACTGAAAAAAAGAAGAAGAAGACTTTACTAAATTAGTGGACTATTGGTGCATTAGTTTAAAAAAAACGAAAATATTTTGCAATTTTTTTTGAAAGTAATTATTTTTAATTCAACATTGACCTAACGGTCAAAGAGCATAAGTGAACCAAAAAGATGGATGAAGGGGTATTTTTAACCCAATAGGTGGATGAAGAGTATTTTTAAACCTTTTCCAATAGTTTAGGGGTATTTTGAACTCTTTTAATTGCATCGAGTTCATAAATGAAAATTTAAAATGACAACGTAAATTGTGAATATATAGAAAAGCTGTTTTACATACTCTTTTACTTCGGGGATTTGATGATACTATATAATAGCATTTCAGGGCTTGCTTCCCTGCTTACCAAAAATATCCTAATTTCATTGCCACCATCTTTGACTGAAACTGCTGCATGAGAAGCAGTAGAAATATATCCAAATAAATGCTCTATCATTTTGACCCCAGTTAATTATTCATTTGAAATATGAATCCACACTAAGAGGTACAAGGTGACCCTTGGTCAAATTCACCCCTCCTTCTGGAAGATAGTAATTCTCCTCAACTTCTTTGTAAGTAAAATCAATAAGTGTCCTTTCACCATCGACCACCTCATGCGTCTGTATAGTCCCCGACTCTATCGAGGGGATTAATCAAGCTTGCCCATCAGGCCTCTAAGGCCCCATTCTCGAGCATAGACGAGGATCGAGACGGAGGCTGGTTGGGTTGATTTGTTCGAGTGAAGACCTCGGACTTAATCCCGGCTAAGAATATGTCATTTTCCGAGAAATGGAACATGAAATTTTGCCTTTAAAATTTTGTTTACTGCTTTTCCTTTTTCCTTCCTTCTTATCGATGTTTCGTGGTGCAGTTGTTGCTCGGATGCCGGATGCAGTTCCCCGACTCAAGGAGTGGGTCGAGGGCATTTTATCAGAGAAGCCCTATTGGCCTATTCCGAGCTCGCGTGGCGCGAACTTTCAAAGGGCCGGTGGGAGGCCCGTTCTCATGGTAAGACTCTTTCCTAAAACAGACATCACTTGGGTTTCAGTTCAATCTTACTCATCTCTTTTCCTTTGTAGGCCTTGGGAAGGGTTTTGCAATGAGGCCCCGTCCGGAGATGAAGACGTCCTCCCCCAATCACCTGCTCCGAAGCAGGCTAAAGAGAAGAAAAGAAAAGGGATTCCGAGTTCCCCGAACTCGGAAAAGCAGAAACCGAGATGGCAGATTGGCAATGCTGCAGTTGATAGTTTGGCCCCTTTTAGCTCTGCCAGTTCCAGAAGAGGTTTTTGATGCTGGAGCAATTAATTCATTATACATATATCCACCCTTAGATCTTAGCCCATTGTACTTGCTTAATCTTACTTTGTTAAGAAAAGAACTTTGACCTTAACTACCTCAAAAACTAACTCACGTGATGAAAATTGCTAACGATTATACAAGGGGATAACATCCTATTCTTTTAACCAATTTGGGACGGTTTACAGTTTACACCCTTTTTGTACCTCTATAATTAAAGTGTGGATAGCATAGTATGGAGCCTAACATCGGGTAAAATAAGAATTAGGATGAAAGACTGATACCATGTGTCCATGTCAATAAAAAAGAATGCAAATTGGGCTTAACTTAACCCTCAAACTAGATCATGAGGTGATAGTTGCTTAAGATCATATAACGAAATAACAATCTTAGTGCAACAACCAAAAGGAAAATATACGTAAATTTACATTATGAATGTGTTAGGCATAGAGAAAAATATTTTCTTGAAAATCTTTTTCAATATTTCCATTTTTGATTGACTTAATTAAATATTTAAAAAATATTTTTAAGCACAACATTTTCCATTCCTCTAACTTCGTGAGAGAAGTCATTTTCCGAAACTCTTCCATGTCATTTTCAAGTGACGCTTTCCACCCTCCCGCTCCACCCAAACTCACTCCCACTCCTACCCATCGTATTATATTAATGACAAGTATGCTCTTGAAATACCCCTTCGTTCACTTTTACTTATCCAATATGGACTTTGTACACCCTTTAAAAATAATAAATGAAGTGCATAATTTACCATGATACCCATATTAATTGATACATATTTTTAATGGATTTGAGAAAAATCTTCGAAAAGAGTAATTAATACTGTGGGTATAATAGAAAAAAAGAAATTATTTTCTCTTGATATGCTAAAGTGATAAGTAAAAGTAAATTTTAGAATACTGGACAAGTAAAAGTGAGAGAGAGTACAACAAATGCGTTGTGAGTTATTGAAGAATTCCGTAAACTTTCATCTTTGTTTGGAAATTCACTTTGTAAATTTGAGACTCGTTTAATTACTGCAAACTCTTGAGTCTTGTGAGACACATAAGTCTTAATTCTCTACTTCATATTATTCCATAGAAAATTCAACTACTCGTCTTTCGAGTTAACTGAAGCTTTGTTTTATGTAAAATCATAACAATTCAAGCTAACAAGTACCTTTTCATGAAAAGAACAAGATGATTCTGAAAGGTGTGACTTGTGAGAGTAACGTCCAATGTATAACCAACGTATTGTAAAATTTGCTAATTAAAACACCAGTAGAAGGCACATGGCAACGGATTCTTATATTACGTACGTGTACATGAAAGGCTCCATCCGGATTCTCACACATATATACATTTTATTTTCACTTTTCACCCAATGTTTGGTACTTCCATTTGGCGTCAAACTAATCTGATTTCTTATTGCGTAAAGTCCGTTAAAGATTAAACGCTTTTTATTAAGATTTTATCCATTCTCAACGCTAGATTCCGAGACCATTAATTAAAATTCTATCCATCTCACCACAATGTTGGTGGTAACATATTCATATATTACGTATGCACGAAAGACCCTAGCTATTCGGAAAAGTGTATTTTAAGAGTCCCAATTTGGGAGAGTTGTAGTCAAGGGGCACATGGCTTGCATCGACAAACATTTAAGTTGAGAGCACACGTTCATGTACATAAATGCGACACACCTCTTTTTACAAATCATACTGTAATGATATAATTCCACATTTTTCTCCGCAAATATTTCCTAGAAAATGCGGTAACATAACTTAAACGACACGTATGGTATCTGAACAGGATCATTCAAAACACCATGTCCCGCTTTGATATTTGTTCCGCTAATGTATATTATGTTATAGAAACTATATAATATCACTAAAACCCATGTGGTTACAAAGGAGTAAAAACCTCCTTTTTTCCCCTTAAAAACAAGGGCAGCACGGTGGCCCCGGTACACGAACACTAAGTATCATACGGTCGAAGGGTCTGAGAACGGGCTGCTGGGAACATGCCCATGTTGTCCAACCAAAGACCCAATGATCTAATTCTACTCTTTTTTGGTTTTTATTTCTATTCGAAATTGGATTCGGTGTTTATTCCTATTTAGAATTAGTTTTGGCTTTAAGTGAAAGCACCATTATGATCTATAAATAGAACAATCTTGGTGAATTGTTCTATCTCATTGGTATAAGTCTTTGAAAGACTTAGCACATAAGAGTGGTTTTTGAGAGAGCTTTCGTCAAGAGAGAGAAGAGAGAAAAAAACGTGTTTGTTTTGTTACAGATTTTTATTCCGACTATCCAACTTCAAATCACGTGTTTCGATTCGTTAACCGTTGGATCAGGCTGGAATTTTGACTAAGTGTTCGTAACAGCTTGGTCTTTGATGTGAATGATGAAGATCGGATTTTGAGGCTCGTAGCATCTGATTTCAAGCCTCGAACTGCAGCTCCAGTTTTGTGACTTCTCCTCCTTCTTCAATTGATTTGTTGTTGCTCTTGTTGCTATTGTTGCTCTGTGTTTGACACTTGTTGTGTAGCTAATTTGAAAAACTTTTGTAACCCTCTTATTATTATAGTGGAACTTTTTGGATCTTTGTGATCTCGTGGTTTTTACCTTTGATTTGAAGGATTTTCTACGTTAAAATTTGGTGTTCTTTATCTTCTTTATTTTCGGGTTTGCCTCTTTCTTGACATAACAATGGTATCAGAGCCTTGGTTATTAATCCAGGTTTTTACGGAATTGAGGTGAATGTGAGCAAGATGGTATGTTTTAATGGGAGCAATTACAGTATTTGGGGAAGCAAGATGAAAGATTTGTTGTTCGTGAAGAAGATGCATCTACCCTTTTTTACCGCTCATAAACCCAAGAGTATATCTGATGAAGATTGAGATTTTGAGCACCGGAAAGTATGTGGATCGAAAATGGGATGAAGATAATGTTCGCAACCATATTGTGAATGAGACACATGCGAGATCGTTGTGGGAAAAATTTGACACTCTTTATGCTTCAAAAATTGGGAACATCAAGTTGTTCTTACTAAAGTAATTGATGACCTATAGATACAAGGAGGGAAGTCCTACCCTTGATCATATAAATAAGTTTCAGGGTGTCCTTGATGAGCTGTCTGGGATTGGAGTTAATTTTAATGATGAGATATAAGGACTTTGGCTTCTCAATACTCGACCAGATTTTTGGGAAACTCTTCGTGTTTCTTTGACAAAATCAACTCATGGAGGTAAGGTAACATTGGAATATGCCAAGAGTGGTGTGTTGAACGAGGAAATAAGGAGAAAATCTCAGGGTTCATCCTCACAAGCAGATTACAGAAGACCGGAGGAGAGATAGAACAAGAGGTTCGAGGAATAGAGGTAAAAGTAGAATTAAGTCACGGTCCAAATACCGTAATATTACATGCAACTACTGTGGTAAGGAAGGACACATAAAAAGGTTTTGCCACAAGTTGAAGTAAGACATTAAAGAAGAAAAGAAATTTGAAAATAACGAGAACAATGTTGCTGCTATTGTTCGAGAGGACCTTCTTTTTGCTTATGATGAAAATGTCATAAATTTGGTATCTTATGAGACGAGCTGGATTGTAGATTTTGGAGCTACTTCACATGTCACACCTAGGAAAGACTTTTTCTCATCTTATACTCCGGTTGACTCCAGAGTATTAAAAATGGGCAATGCTAGTGAAATTAAGGTGTTTGGGGTTGCCATAGTTTGTTTGAACTAATAATGATTCAACGTTAGTTCTCCAAGATGTCAAGCATGCTCCAGACTTTCCTTTTAATTTGATCTCCGCGGGAAGATTAGACGATGAGGGTTACCATAATGCCCTCTTTAATGGCTAATGGAAGCTTACCAAGGGCTCGTTAGTAGAGGCTCGAGGAGTCAAGTATTCTCATTTATACGTGACACATGGCTCTATTCTTAATGACTCTATAAATCTGGTGGAAAGTGACACTTTATCAGAATTGTGGCACAAAAGATTGAGTCATATGAGCGAGAGGGGGATTACGTGGTTGTCTAAGAAAAGTTTGCTTTTTGGGGTAAAACAAGCAAAACTGAAAAGGTGTATCTATTGTTTAGCTGGCAAACATAAAATAATTTTCTTTAATAGCCATCCTCCTTCAAGAAAGCCCGATTTATTGGAGGTAGTACACTCGATTCGTATGGTCCTTTTAAAGTAAAGTCAAAAGGTGGTGCACTTTACTTTGTGACCTTCATTGATGATCATTCTCGCAAGCTCTGAGTGTATCCTTTAAAATTCAAAGATCAAACACTCAACATGTTTAAGGAATTTCAGGCTTTAGCCAAGAGACAGACGGGGAAGAAATTATAATGCATTTGCACTGACAATAATGGTGAATATTGTGGTCCCTTTGATAACTGTCACGCCTCGAATTTGGGCCTGGACATAACACGACACCCGGTGCCTGACTACTATGACTGAGCAAACCAACTGGCTGGCTGAATCAACATATGATATCATAACATACTGAATGTAGAAGATAAACTAACACATGTTAATATACTAAAAGTTTGAATGATATAAATTATTGTGCGGAAACATTAACATAAGTCTGAAGTATATCTGTAGCCAATATTTCTTAACCTGAAAAGCCCATGACTTTGTCTAACTGTTATTCTTGTCTATGAAGCCTCCAATGAAGTACTGAAAACACTGAATATCTGAAAATATTGAAGACTGTAAGATAATAATAATGCCTTAAAAGAACTGGGGATCATCAAATAGTTGGTACGAGAATCCTAGCTCTCTGAATAATCAACCTGTAAATCAATACCTGTAGCGTGAGATACAGGCCCTGGGCAAAAGTGTTGTCAGTATACTTGAATTGCACTGGTATGTAAAGCAACTGAAAGAAAGAACTATTAATGCTGAAACTGATAATGAGCTGATAACTGAGAATTAATAATTGATAACTGAAATGGTAACTGTTGAAACTGAAACTGAAATGATAACTAGTAACCTATAACTGAAATGATAACTGATAACTGAAATAATAACTAATAACTGAACTAAACAAAGGAATTAAGGATAGGAATACTCCCTCTCCCGAATGATGAATTAATCTCATCCAAATCATACCTCAAATCAA